GGCTCGCTATCCACCACGGACGCCGGCCTCTCGCCGCCGCCCCTCCGGCCGGGAGCGGCGCCCCGCCGCCGCCCGTGCCCCCCGCTGCCCTTCCACTCGCTGCTCGGGCTGGGGCTGCTGCAGACCGGCCTGGGCTGCGCCCTGGTGGCGCTGAGCTTCGGGGTGCTGTCGCTGAGCAGCGCCCCGCAGGTGAAGAATGCCCTCTGGGCCGGCTCGTCGGTAAGTGACGGGCGGGACACGCCGTGCTGGGGCCCGGCCGTGCGTGAGCGGCACCTGCGGGGTCGGCTGTCCCGGGGGATGCGTGATCCCGCTCCTCCGCCATCGCTTGGAAACAGCCTCCGGCTAACGGGGTAGCGGCTTTTCGCTGATAGTTTTGTAGGATGTCCGCAGGACCCCAGCTGGGTAACAAACGTCGAGACTATCAAATAGGGGATTTATTTCCTGGCGGTCTTTTTTGAAAAAAAACCTCAAAAAAGTGGGGAAAAAAAGGTACTTGACTTTTTTTGCCCTATCAGACACAGTATTTTTCAAAAGTCATTGTGTAAGTAGATGTTGCATGTCTGTGCTTTGTGCCTTTACTCATAGGCATAATGTAGAGATAAATCAATATTCCTGGGGAAAAAAAGTATGGACTTAGGGACAGTTTTGTAAAGAGTACTGAGAGAAATTATTCCATCTCCTGTTGGTCTTTGCTTTGAACCACAGCTTTATAAATGCAGAATATATACAGAAGTTTGTATTGCAGAAGCTAGGCAGTAGTAAGCAGAAGTTAATAAGTGTAGGAGAGTCCCATTGTTTGGCTCCGGTTTGTGGACCTTCCAGCAATCAGCAAGTTGTGTACTGGGATGGAGCACTCAGCTCCTGCTGCCTGTGTGAGCAGTATCAGCTTATCCCTCTCTTTAAACATTTCACTTAAATTGCCAGTGTTGTTCACCACCTGTGGAAATGCTCTCAATGCAGTAGTTTGGGGATCAAGTAGTTCCTGTTTATCTGTATAATGCAGTGTTCATCCCTGAAAGTACACAGTCCTTGGGAGTTGAGGGGAAATCCAGACCATCCAAATATCTGTGTTTGGTATCTCTTTTGTGATCTTACTCTAGGTTAAAAGAAGTTTAAATATATGTAACCAATGGACTTCCTTTGAATTCTGTACACAGTATCACGTTTATGCTTTTAAAATATTTTAAAGTTGCACATATAATAGAGAAATTCAGTATTTTTAATAATCAAGAAAGGTGCCGTTTTTTGGGGGGGTTTTAAATTATATTTCTGAAGAAATAGTACACTCAGAAAAGTTACCAAAATACCATTTGGGTGTAAAAACATAAGTCAAAATCGTAGCCCAGAAGCAACCTGGAAAAGCAGATGCCATCAAAAGCTGACTTATGTGTCTGGTTGGGTGCTTTTTGGTTTGGTTTTCTCTTCATTATGGATGCAACATGCTGACTTGTGAGGGGCATGTCAGGAAAATTTTAAGAACAACTTCCTTTTCTTATCTTTAACAGATGCAATGAAATAAATTTGTTGTCTTTAAGGAAAAAAAAAACCAAAAAACATCAGTATTGATGTGCTTTGTTACAAAATCATATGTCCATTTTGCACTCAGAGAATTCAAAAAATACTTTGTTATGAAACTGCAGAGTTATGTATGTGGTTTTGCAACACCAGTGATGATATCAGTAGGTGTTTGGCCAAGTCATATATGCATGTTACGCTAGATTAGATTGATCATGTCAAGTGAATGAAGTTACAGAAGGGATTTATTAAAAATACTAGTGGATGACTTCCTGCTTGTTCCAGTCTTCCTGGTTTTTTTTCGGGTAGGAGCTTGATGTCCACTGGCTTAGTCACAAAGTCCAATGAGTTAAAAGTATATCTGCTGATTTATGGGAGATGCTGAGAAATTTATTTACCTTTCTTTATAGTGTTCCTATTCTTTTGTGAGAGAATATTCAGGTATGCTGTTTATTTCAGTGCTACAGCAATTACTTATAATTTCTTAATTGTCTTGCCCTGTAAGGTAAAGAAAGAATCATAGAGTTCAGTTCTGTGATTCAGCAAGTTTGGTCTAACAACTGCTGTTGCAGAAGGATGTGCTTTTATTTTAACTTCTTTTCTCTCACTGATACTGGCATTCATCTGATTAAATAGCAAAATGTTTCAGGAAGGTAGTGCTGGTGCTCTTTATTGATTTCGGTAGGGTTCATTCTTCAGGTTTTAGCTCACTGAAATGGTCAGAAATCAGCAAAAGGGAAGAAAGAAACAGGCAATTAATGAAGTGCTGAGATTGTGATGGACAGAGGGGATAAAAAGGACAGTTTTTAGACTTGCCTAGCCACGTTTCAGAGAACAAATACTCCCTTGGTTGAAAGCAATTATTTAAGGCAAATGTGGAGGTTGGAATTGCTGACATACTGCTTGTCCCCATACATGTTTTCTGGGAGGAAAAAATAAGAAATTAGCAGATTTAATTTGGTTACTGTTTCACAGGATGCTCTTAGGAGCGAAGAACCTCAGCAGCACAGGTATTCTCTGCTTTAAGTGCATCTTTGTATCTTGCAAAGATACAGCATTGCTGTAGTGTTCCAAAGTACAGTAATAAAAACAGTGTAAATGTCATTTTGTGGACAGTTCTTTGCTTCTTGGTGACATTGTGTTTTTTGATGTTGTAGACAATCTTATGCGGAATCTTAGGGTTAACAACATGGAAGAGACCGATGATGCTTTTGGTAAGTATGGATTAGAGTCTGTAAGGAAATAATTTAAAAAATATCCTAATTTAATAGTCACTGGTAAAAAAATAATCACTTCTTTCTCCTTTTTTAAAAAAAAATGTTGAGTCTTTCTTTTCAAATTGTAGAATCAAAATTATTTAAAGAGAAGTCAACGACCATGAAAGGCCATATTCTTTCCTGCATGGTTGAAGTCCTCAGTAAGAGCGAGAAAGGACCATGTCTGGATGATTTGTTAATATTATTTAAAGCACACATTTTATATTTTTGTATGTATAAGAAAGTGCTGGCTTAGAATAAGTAATACAGCTCTCCGAGACAGTGCAGCTTAAACTGAAATAAAGGAGATGGTTTTAAATCTTAGCTTAGTTGTAGTGTTTTAGTTTTTGACAATAGGTTTGAGAGCTAACTTAACACCTTACAGCAGGATCTGGTACTAATTTCATATACAGTTGACATGGCATTGCTGTGAGAGAAGATTGATGTGCAGGGTGTGTAAGCTGTTTCCACTTGTAAGTGAAATCTGAAGCTGTGTGTCTCTTAATATCTCAGAGTTGGGATTTGAAAAAGAATTTTATAGTTGCTTTTGTTTTGTGTGTGGTTTTAGGGAGTTTTTTGGTTGGTTGGTTGTTTTGGGTTTTTTTTTGTTTATTTGTTTGTAATTTTTTGCTTTACTGTCACTTCTGAAGACTTTTTTGAGCCAAGGTAGTTGTTTCATTTATCTGCAGCACTCCTTTTTTTGTGGATCCTCCTTTGGGATCCAGATGGGTATCAGTGAGGAGTACCAAGGATTAGATGTGTGAGCTGTGGATAGAATCATAGAATTGTAGATTCACCAAGGCTGGAAGAGAGATTTGAAATCATCAAGTTCATCTGTCCACAGCACTGCCCCAAACCCCTAAACCACATCACCCAATGCCTCTTGAACACCTCCAGGGATGGTGACTCCACCACCTCCCTGGCACATCCCATTCCAGTGCATGACTACCCTAACAGCAAAAAAACTTTTTCTAGTAACTGATCTGAATCTCCCTTGTCTCAGCTTCAGGCCATTTCCTCTTGTCCTCTCGCTGCAGGCACCACAGCAGCCATGGGACCCCGCCTCACCACAACCTCCTTCAGGGGAGTTGTAAAAAGCAATGAGATCCCCCTGAGCCTCCTTTTTTTGAGACTAAACAGCTCTCTCAGCTGCCCCTCATGAGAGATGTTCTTTAGTCCTTTCAGGAGCCTTGTTGGCCTTCCCTGGACAGGCTGCAGCCCCTCAATGTCCCTTTTAAAGTGAGGGGCCAGAAAGGAGCGCAGACTTGGGGTGAGGCCTCCCCAGTGCCCAGCACAGGGGCACCGTCACTGCCCTCATCCTGCTGGCCACGCTGCTCTTGGCACAGGCCAGGATGCCACTGGCCTTTTTGGCCACCTGGGCACACTGCTGGTTCATGTTCAGCCAGCTGTCAACCACCCAACATCCATTGTTGTTTCTAAGTGTGCACTGGTTAATACAGGCAAATTTTTCAGGAGTTTTGTGGATTTTGTTTCTTCTCAGAGAGAAGTCTGGTGTTAGAGACTCCCAGTCTGGAAGAGCCATGTTTTCATCAAGATAAATGTACATGCTATCAGTCTCAAACTGCCTAAGACTTGCACAGCACTCCTGTGTCAGTATTCTTTGTCTGTGTTCTGGACTGTTTCTATAGAATGTTGTTGCTCTTTCACTCTTTAATGTTCTCCTTTGTACAAAACTGATCTTCCTTTCCTTATTTTACTTAAATTGAAAGCACAAACTCTTCTTGATCCCTTCTTTTATTTCAAATGATCTTTAGGATGGTCACATGCTGAAGGAGATTGCCCTGGGATATTGCACAGCAGATGGGAAAGTTTCTGATGTGAAATTGATAAAAGCTCTGAGCAGCCTGCCATGATTTCATAGCTGACCCTGCCTTTGAGCAGGAGATTACAGAGGAATCTTCCTCAGCTCTCTAATAGCCACAATTATTCTATTCTGTGATTATGTGATTCTATAAAATCGTTTAGTTTTTTTTCTTATTTATATGTGTGTTCTATAGAGGTCTGATTTTTGATAGCCAGATTAGATCAGCCTTGTCATTGGGAATCATTTCTGCTAAAAGAGCAGTGAAAACCTGGAACAGGCTCCTAGAGATGTGATTGATGCCTTAAGCTGTCAGTGTTTAAGAGGCATTTGGACAATGCACTTGATACTGGGCTTTGATTTTTGGTGAGCCCTGAAGTGGTCAGGCAGTTGAACTAAATGATTGTTTTAGGTCCCTTCCAACTGAAATATTCTATTCTACGTGGAAAAATAAAAACACAAATAAACATTAAACTCTTCTTAAGGGTAAGGAAATAATACCTTAAACTATCTACAGTCTTTCAAGGACGGATTGTTGGTTTCTGTGGGCATATTTGGGCTAAATGTCTATTATGTCTACCCCCTAGTAACTTGCACCTTTTTGTCTGGGGAGTTATGAAGAGTGCACAATTACATGAATTATAAAAGCAAGCTTCCTAAATGTCTCATCAATGAGAATCATCACAGAGTAGTGACTTGGAATTATGGCATTCATAAGCAAAATTAAAAAACTTGTTCAGAACTAAAATTCATATCCTTTTGTCAGTTGTGACAGTCCTTCCCTTTTAATTCCTCATGTATGGCCTTAGCACTCCCCGTGACGGTTTCTCACTATCTGTGTTTGGGTTTTTGTGAAGTGTCAGGCTGTTATGACTGCCACTTCTGTCCAAGGCCTTGGTCATGGAGGAAAACACCCAGACTCAGGGTTTTTTCTGTGACAGAAAGATTCTGGTGCTGCTGATGCTTGCAGTAAGCACAAGGCTGCAATGCTGTGAGAAAGGAGCTGGGTGTGGTGTTTCAGCCACTCATGTTTCTACTTTGAGGGGAGAAAGGAATGGAAACACATTGGTTACAGATACAGTGGACCTTTAGTAACACCATCTGTGAAAAAACAGCCATGAAGAGGGATGGCTGTGATAAGACCTTTTAGTAAATAAAACGGAGAGTTGTTATTTGGGTTTTGCCACCTGCACTGTTTTACAGCTGTATTAACAGTGTGGGATGATGCTAGATAAGTATTATATCTGAGAGACAGGGTACTACAAGGCAAAATCAAGCTACGGTCATATCTTTTGAAGGACATTTTTGCAAGGGAGGCCTAGTCTTGAGCAGTAAAGCTGCTGAGAAAGTCTGGGTTCTGAAATCCTTCCTTGGTTTTACATGTTTGAGAAATTTCTGTCCTGGATATCTTGTCAATCAGTTTTGGAAGTCAGCTTGTAATGCTTGTGCTTTGAAGCTGATTTTTCTTTGAGGAAATGCTGAGTTAACACTGGACTCAATGATCTTGATGATATTAACGATCCTGTGTTTCTTCTTTAGGACTGTCCAAATGTATTAATGGGGAAAGGGGAACTCACCACTGCCACCACCTACCCCTCGAAGTTACTTGGATATTGGCTCTGAACCATTCTGGGCTCAGTGTTACCTTTCATGCATAGAAGAATCTGGTTCCTTCCTTTCTGCTCCTAAGCTTCTTCTTTTCACACAGCTTTAAATCTTAGTTTTACCAGAAGGAACCTAAATTATTTCAGAAAGTACATCATTGTTAGTTTGATTGTGAATGTTTTAAGGGCAGCTCATGTCTTTCACAGGTGATGCTTGGCTGTTGTAGCCTCTATCCTTACTTGTATGCCTGATTGGACTAATTTGAGTTTATGTTGCATTCCCAGGAGTTGCCAGGAGCTGTACACGCTTTGCTAGATGCAGAAGCCCTTAGCTAGTGAAGTATCCTTTCCTTTCATCGCACATAAATTAGTTGCAATCCTATAGAGTGCTTTTTAGATGATCCTCTGATTATGTTTGTTTCTGGTTTTGGTTTTTTTTTCACTAACTGAGTCTAAGACTTCAAGTTAAGCATCTCTTTTGTGTCTGCTTGGTGCTTGTGTTCTGCTGCTAAAGAGGAGACTTAGCTGTGATCAGATGAAAAGGAAAGGAGTGCTAGCATCCAACAAGACATCAGCCTATTGTGCTGTGCAGAGTTGAACTGCTGCAGCTGCAAGTACTGGGGAGCAGTTTGGTACCTGCAAAATGCACGGGATCAAGAAGTCAATAGAACACATGCAGGCTGACTCTGTCTTGAACGTGACTTCAGCTTTTGGCTACATCAAGCACTGCATGCTTCTGTTATTTTCTTGTGTGGCAGCTTTTGTGTTCATACATGTCATTGTTTTCATGTAAAGCTCTTAGGGGCTTGACAGACAAAGCAGAGTTGCATGTGCAGCATGGGTCATTCAGTCTGGATTCTTCTCATGTTTTACAGTGTGCTCACAAAATGATTTGAAATTTTTACTTGAAACACTTTTAATTTAAACATGTTAATATTTTTGGTTTATGACAAATATTTACAGATCTTACTTTGAAAACAGAAAAGTTTGTAGAAGTTGGCCTTTATTTATGACCTAGAAATTTTTGAAGAATATATTTGTGGTAAACCATGTATTTAATTGAAAATTTTTATCCAAAGAAAAATATGTTTGAGAAAACTTAAATAAAGATTTCTTAGGGCTGACTTCTGCTATGATATCTGCACCTTGACAGATTTTCATGAATTTAACTAAAATTTAAAGTATAGATCAAGATAATTCATTCCAGTAACGTTCTTAAACTTTAGCCCTGCTAGTAGCAGTGAACTGTGAACAGAAGCTCTGTATCCTGTCCCTAGCTCTGAAAAGCACTCTCCTTAGGCATGTGCTTTATGACAAGCAAGTCCCACATAATGTGAGAATTACTGTAGTAGTATCTTTTTTCCCTTGATTTTAGAAGTAAAATAGCTCAGTGTTAACCTCTTTGCTTACACTCCAGACTGCAGCATTAAGCCAATAAACAGTAATTATGCAAAGGTTTTAAAGTCAGTATAAGCAAATAGAAATAGGCTTTTAAAAGTGAGAGTATGAAAAGCCATTAGAAGCTTATAGCTGTTTTTATGCTGGAAGAGCTTTTCTCTCATACATGGGGTGTTTTAGTGCTGCATTTGAAATATGTGACTTTTTAATTAAATTAATTCATTTGTCTCTTCTTGCAGGGCTTTCCTTTGTTGGCAGTTGTGTTGTGGGTCTTCGTATGGTAGAATAAGTAGCTCTCAGAACTGACAGAAATCTTGTAAGGTCCTGTGAGTTTTAATTATAGCTATTGCTGCTGTGCCTATGGACAATTAATAAATGGACATACTCTTTTCTATAGGATGTTTATAAAGAATATATGTAGGTTGTAAATGGATATAAGAGTTGCTGATTGTGAAACAACTGTTTTTTCTTTCATTTAAGTGTCTGCTTGGGCATCAGTCCTGCATGTGCATATTCAAGTGAAAGCAGTTCCTCTCTTAAATTAGATACTTGCTTCAATGGCAGCAGCAGCAGGACAACAAGGAGCTTTCCTGTGCAGAATGAAAGACAGTGTCAGTGCTTTACTATGCATATTTATTCTTCTTTCCTTGAAAGGCATAATGATACTTTTCTACTTGAAAGAGTTCATACATTCACGACAGTAGCAAATATGAGTAGATAAATTTTGTATAGTTTAATTCATATGAAGGTTCCTCATGGCTTTCTGCAGCTGTTCACAGTCCATGTGTATCTAATGCTCTGAAGATGAAGCTCTGAGCCAAACTAAGGCCATAATTTGAGTTGTTTCCACTTTTATAACTGCAGTCAAAACCAGTTACATCTGTTTAATTTTTGAAATACCATGTTTGCCTTTCTCTGTTTTTATCTAAAATGAGAAGTACTTCTCTCCTCTGGGTAGGATCTTCTGTCACTGAGATTAAGTATAACCCCTGTTTTTACTTGTAGAAGAGTAGAGAAGGAGAAGATGTTTAAATTTGCATCTGCAGGAAGATATAAGTAAGAAAATAAGCTGACAGAATACCTGTTAGACAGTGAATGACTGAATAACTGAGGTTTGGGATCAGTGGTGAAAGCCAAGCTTGCCAAGGGCCAGAGGTGAGCCTGAGGGGTGGAAACTGAGGGGCAAATACTACTGAAGCAAGTGCTCTGCACAGTGGATCTGAGTGACTCTCAGCACAGGCGATGCCAAACTAAGAGGAATGGCTGATATGCTAAATATTGCCATTCAGAAGGACCTGGACAGGCTGAGGAGTACACTGAGAGGAATCTCTTGAAGTCCAACAATGGGGAATGCAAAGTCATACTTGCACAGGGAAATTATCCTGTTACACAGAAGGGAGCAACCTGGTGGAAAGCAGCTCTGCAGAGAAAAACCTGGGCATCCTGGTGGACAACAGGCTGCCCATGAGACAGCAAAGTGCTCTTGTGGCAAAGAGGACTAGTGGTGTCCTGGGCTGGATTAGGCAGAGACTGGCCAATAGGTCAAGAGATGTGATCCTTCCCACACCTGGAGAGGTGTGAAAGCTGTGGCAGTTCAGCCTGGAGAGGAGGAGGCTCAGTGGGAATCTCTTGCTTCTCTAAATAGCTGATGGGAAGGAATGAAGATTAGGGAGCTGGACCTTTTTCAGTAGTGCTCACTGCCAGGACAAGAGGGTGTGAGCAGAACTGAGAAAATAGGAACTTCCATCTGAACATAGAAGACAACTTTTTAATGTTATGATGATCGAAAACTGGTGTAGGTTACCTGTAGAGATAGTGAAAACTAACTGGACATTATATTCAACAGTTTGCTGTAGGTCATAAAATCATAGAATGGTCTGGGTTAGAAGGCATCTTATGGTTCCAGCTTCCTTGTTGTGACACCGGCTTGAGCAAGAGATGAGATTTAGATGGTCTCAAGAGGTCCCTTCCGATCTCAGTGATTGTGTAAAAATTCTCACCAGTGATGGAGAAAAAAGAAAAAAGATCTTTTTATCTTGACAGTTAAGTACAACATCTTGTCCACTGTCAGATGTGTGGCAGAGAATTTGTGGTTATGGTTCAGATCATGGTAGTGTTTTAGATTGTATGTAGAGGAATAATTTTTATCTTCTGATCATCTGGCAGGATTTTACTCAGTCAAAAATACACTGTACATTCCAAAACCAGATCAAGATTATACTTGCTCCTCGTAGAATTTATTAGAACATAAATGCAGAAATTATCATCCTTTCACATATTTATGATAATACTCCTTCTCTTCCTCTTTGTTCTTTGATTTCTGACACTTCTTTAGAAAAATATTAATGATTTTTTTGTTTTTCAAAATTTTGGATTGGAAGTCTGGATTTTAACTGTAACTTTTTTGTATAGATGTAGATGGAATTGTTTCTATTGCAGCTTCTGTACCAAAGGAGACAACTTAAATGTGAGTTTATTAGTTTTTTTTGGTTTTTAAAAAATCTTTCTTTACTTTGGCCAGGTAACTTTTTCCCATTTATTCATCAGTTGAAAAAGGACAAATACACCTCTTGTTTTTCTTGACAAGAAATTCCATGAGATTTGTGCTATAAAGATGTTTTATGTTCAAACTGCTTCTATTTTACTTACTGGCTAATTCCTAATTGTTGGTGCCCTATGTTGAACCCAGTTGAAAAGTTTTCTTTACATTAAATACCTGTGTGTAGCAATATTTTTTCTCAAAGTAGTTTTTTTGCTGGAAAAGTAACTAAGGTAATTTAGGTAAAAGCATAAGGAATGGGTTTGATTCAGTTACATGCTGAGCAGGGAGTTAATTTTTTAAAAATGGTTAAATTCTGTTTGTATGGAAAAACAAATGGCACTCCAAGTGCTTTCTAGAACTAAAACCCTATTTTCTGTGTTTTTGTGATTAGTACAAAGCTAGGACAAATTACTCTTTTTCTTAATAATTTATAAATTATTTTGTTTTTAGTATATCTAACACAAAGTAGTCTCAGTCCTCTTCAGAGATTTATTAATAACTACTAATTAACAGGTTATTGGGGTTTTGGGGTTTTTAAAATCTACCTTATGGGATAATGTCATGGTCAAACGAGTAATGACTACTAATGTCGTAATTGAAGAATTCAGCTTGCACAGTAATGCTCTTTGGCTCTTGTCCATTCATGGGGGATTATTTCCCTGAACTTCAGAAAATGGGAACATAATTTGTGCAACAGCTGTTACCTTTTTCTGCTTCAGATTCCAGGTAGCTAACCATGGTACTTCAGCTGAATGTATTCAGAAGGCCATGGTGCTCTTTGCATGTTTAGGAAGTCCTTGTCGCTGGATCTCTGGAGCAGAACTGAACTCACATCCCTCATAATGTCCTTCTCTTCCTCTGCTTCTTTTCATGTCCTGCTTTTTTAATTTGGACCATTTTGATACAAAGAGACCTGAATGAGCAGATTGTTATTAAAAAGGATGCTTTAGAACATTAAGAATCTGATACTTGTTTTGTAGGATTAAATGCTTAAAGGAGGCATCTTTTTTTTATTTGTCTCTAAAGTAGTAGTCATACCCATACTACTTTCTCTTGAAGTACAGATTAGTTTTGCCTGTATGAATAGGGACAAGGATGGTTCTTTCATATATTCAAAATCCATATCCAAAGTCATGTAAACACAGATTGTAAGGGAATATGTGAAAGCAAGACATCGTTTTGTCCGCTGCTTCTGCTTGTCCTTTTGTAATGTATTTATTACTCTTGCCATTGCTCAATTTCAGGTGGTTTATAAATCTGAAAGTATTGTCTGATTTATGAATATTCTGGTTTTAGTAGTCAGGAGGAAATAAAGTCATGTGACTGAAGTATCTTAAGTGTTTCAATCCTCACTGTACTGGGACAAATATTTTTCATTTATTTGTGCTGCAAAATAATTCTGGAAATGTTCAGAGTGAATGTTGGCTTAAGATGTTTCTCCCTCTTCAGGTTTCTGTACTGTTCTGAATTTATTGAGAGCTAAACTTGGTGGAAGAGTATGACATACAGCAGAAGTTGGGCGACTTGCAGATCATACTTGACACTCCAGCAAAACTTTTAATTGCTTGTGCTATTACTACTGATATTTTCAATAGTTGCATATATTTTATTTCTGCATAACTAGTGCAGAATAAGGAGAGGGAAGAGAAAGAATTTTGGGAATAGGTTAAGACACCTCGGGGCACTGAAATAATGGTCAGTTTTGAAAAAACTGTTCCCAGCTTCAGTTTGTGCATGGGATTTGCTCTGTGATAGGTTCCTTGAGTTGGGTTCCTGTGCACTTAATTCTGTTTTGATGTTCCAGGTTAACCTGTTTGTTCTGCTGTCTATGATCAGTGTCATGCTGAACGTGGTTGGATTAATACTAGGATGTGAAGGCATTCAGTTTGTGTCTGGGGTACCCAGGTGTGATTTGGTGAGCACACATACTGATTTACACTGATTTCTTCTCATTATGGCATATTAGCTTGCTGTGCTAAGATCACAAAACCTCCTGATGTAGAGTTGCAAGTAATTTAAGAACTGGCATAAAGAATTTTTGTAGTAATGTAAAAAAAATTAACTGTTGAAAAAAGCCTGAATGTGCATAATGGTGAGCTACCCGCGAAATGTTCAGTCTGTTATAATCTCTTGGTGGGATTGTTCTTCCTCTTTTGCCTCACCTGGTGGGGACCATTGTGTGATACCTTGCAGCAGAAGCTGTGAGCTAAAAACCAAGGTAGATCAAATCATACTAGCTTTTCAGAAGACTTCCACTTGAGGAAGATGCAACCTGTACAAGGCAGGGCAGAATGCAAAAGATTTTTCTCAAGTGGTTGTCATGAGAAATAGAAGAATCACTGTTTATGAACTGGAAACTGTGGGATAATTGAAATATAAGGATACAATACAGGGTCACTTGGTGATGAAGATGATTGTGTGTAAAAGCTTGAAGGACTTTGTGGTTTAATGGAAAGATCTTTGAATATCTATTTTCATTCATTTACTCTTTCAAGAAAGCTATTGTTGGTTCCTTGACATGCCAGTAGGTGTATTGTAGTGAGAGTCCAAGATTATAAACACTTGGCAATCTGTAGTCACCCACTATCACTGTACCAAAGCCACAATGAGAATTAATGATATTCCAGATGAGGTGGTCAAATGTTGCAGGAGTTTCTGAGCTGTCTATAGTTGGAAGTATGGGTACAGCAAAAACACATTCCTGAAGTCATTAATTATTTTGTAGGGTGGCTTCTGTAGGTGGAAGAATGTCACCATTGTGACTCTAGAATCTGAAAGCTAAATACACAATTATTTCTAAATATGGGGACTTTGAATTTCTACTTTGAAAAGTAAGATGATAAGATTAATTTGAACGTGAAAGTTACTAACAACAGTGAACTACAGATATGGCTACTAATGATTTGACCAGGTTGAAATGATAGTTGTGGGCTTCCTTCCACGCATAGAAATGCAAGGTGTATTCCTGAACCATAGCAAATGTGTACAGTTCATATAGAGTGGTTTCCACAACAATCAGAGAAATAATTTCTCTATTAATAGCATAATAATGCTATTATGCATTGGAAAGAGCATAGCTAATAAAATTGCTTAGTAATCAGTGCAGCTTTGCTTACAACTAAGTTGTGTTTAAATGTGTTAATGCATTACCCATGCTTTCTCTCAAATAAGAGATCCATAGTACAGCTTTATAATGCAGGAATCATTGAGATACCAAACTGTTCAATTATATGACCCTGTATTTCCAGTCTGCTTTGTGGCCATGGGTTTAGTTTAAGACATAGGTTCTATATTATGCAGGTAAAAATATTGCATAAAACAATTTAAAAAGTAGAGTTTTGTTTCTTCAAGATGGATGAAAACAAGATTTGTTTGTGCTGTGAAGAACCTCATCCCACTGCATGCACAGAAGAGGAGGCTGTACTGAAACTATACCATGTGAAGTCATGCGATGCTGCTCACCTTCTTCTCAAGGTACCCTGCACACACAGCAGCAGCAGCACTGCTTTTATAATGCCCATGCTTGTGCAGCAGTGCAGTGCTGAAGTGATTGCTGTGTTTACTGGGAAAAACTCTTTTATTTTTCTGGTCTTCCACACTGGTCAGAAGCTCTTCATAGTTCTGTAACGTGGGGGGATTTTTTAATATCTGGGACTTGACCAGTGCATTGCTGAGCCAATAAGCATTTCTTGCTTGTTTTTTTGTGTTTAGTGCAACCAAAACTGCAGTTGAATCCTGACAAGATTACAAGGGTGAATAAGATCTGAATTTTAGCTAATTATTTGATGCCTTTTTTAGTCTTTTGCACTTCTCAGCCTTTTGTGGCTTACAAGCTGCTCAAATCAAACTCACAACCAACACCATCTTCAAATATCAAAAAGATTTGATATTTCTTTTATGGGGATCATCTTGAATCTGGAGTTCCCACTGCAAACTTATGAGGAAGGTTATAAGTCTTGGATGAATAGATGGGTAAATCACATCTGAGCTGTATTAAGCCCTTCTGGATCTCTCTGTCAGGACAATAAATAGTGTAAAACAAGTTTTTGCAAATTACTCTAGTCTTGGAGATTGTGCTGAAGACTTCATTCCATACATTTCTTAGAAGTAATTGCCATGGTAATCTCCTCTGTATTTGTTTTTATTTTGTAGCATTATTATTATTATTATTATTATTATTATTATTATTATTATTATTATTATTATTATTATTTTGACATTTACAAATATCATGATTTAATAGTTTCATTTCAATGATCTTCATGTTCTTCAGAAAGTTCTCTTAGCTCTTAGTGCCCTGAATGCTCTCGCCGCTACAGTTTGCTTCATAGCGTCTGCCCTGCATTACTTGCAGATACTTGCATCAAGAAGATTCTGCACAGTAAGTGAGCACAAGGCATTGTCTGCCACAGAGACTGGTACAAGCAGTATTAATAGATTATACTGTTCAGCAATATTTATAGCTCAGAAGGATTTTAACAGAAGTTTGTTTGATCAGGGTGAATCTGAGGTTGAAGACGAAGATTATGATTTGGATCCTGATGATTTTGTCCCACCTGTCCCACCTCCCTCCTATTTTGCAACTTTTAATTCTTGTACCCCACAAACAAGTCACAGGTAAAACTGCACACTCTCTTCCTTTCTTTTACTGTACTTCAAGACATGGCCTAATCTTTTTTTTTAAGACTGTTTTCTCTGGTGAAAAGGTTTGTGATTTTAGGAGGGTTAAAAAAAAAAAAAGAACCTATTAGTTTGGAGACAGCATAAATACAATGTGGGCAAGGGAGTAAAATTTTGTGAGTTTGAGTTTAGATTCTCTAGGAACTATTTCTGGGTGAGAGAAATATTAGTGCTCAAAACAACTGAAAACTTACACGATGCTGTCAAGAGCAGGTGAGGGCGGCAATGGGAAGCCAGACACAACCACTTGGTAAGCCAGAGGCCCTGAGTGGTGTTCCCCCACGGATCTTCCTCCCAGAATCATTCTTATTCTCCTTCTTGGGCTGTTAGAGATGACTGAAGGGTGTGTTTTGACTGCACTGCCTGGAAAAGTAATCCCTTACCCTGCAGGTAGTTGCTCTTGAAAGTAACTTGCAGGTTGGCTTTACTAGTTTGTGACTCAGGTGGGGCTGCGTTGTTCTGTTCTGAATATACAGTATTTATACATAAAGTATTGTGATGCTCAAGCAGACTGTATGACTCTTGTTTAAAATTCCTCCTTTTTGCAGTGTGCAGGAATGTTTAGTTTATTTCACTGTTTCATCAGGAATAGCACACATGACTTTCAAGACTGTGTGCCTGGCAGAGGTAATTACAGATTGTGGGATGGTCTAGAAAATGGTAAAATGGCACAACAATAGGATTTAGAATGAACAGGTCCTCTGAAAGACTAGAGACTGGAGTTGAATTAAAAATATTACTTAAAACGTCTATGTAAGTTTTGGTTCAAGCTGCTTATGAGAACAGAATGAAACGTGGAATGAATGAAACAGAATGATCTCTTTGGAAGAATAATTATTTATCTAAATATACTTTTCAGAGTTCCCCTGCTTTAAAATGGACCAGTTGTTCTTTGTCTAGCATGTCATTCTAGACGGTTATCTCTTTCCCAGTAGCAGGATTTCTTTTTTTTTTTTTTTTTCCTTTGGCTCAGGGGTGCTGCTGAACAGTATTTAAGGCTTCTGTGGTCTGAAATTGAGTAGCCACCTTGCCTGTGACTATGTTAAAACTTGTTGTTGATGGTAACATTTAAGTGATGATGGCATCTTTCTGAAGTAAGGCTATTTGTTTTAGGGTAAGTTATGCAACAGGGCAGAAGTTAAAGTAACACTGTTTCTGTTTTTGGAAGATGAGTAATTATCTCCATCCAGTCAGGGCTGGATCCTGCAAGAGTGGCCGAGATGGGATGTGACCATTTCTCAGTCAGCCTCCTCACGCTTCTTCCTCTCAGTCTGTGCCCTGAACTCCGTGTAGCACCTGTGTGCCCTGTAGCACTCTGTAGGCACCTCCGTGTGCCCTGGCTTTCTGTGCTGAGCTCCCTGGTCCTGGCATCCCAAACCTTTGTGTGCAAGTAGGGTGTCACAGGAGCCACATCCAGGGAGGTGAGCCCCATCTGCAAGCTCCAAGACAGATACATCCCCTGAAAAGGGAAACAGCAGTCATCAAAATTTATGCCAAAGACGTGTTTGGAATATGTAGGCCTTCTTCTACCACCCTTTAAATTAAAAAGTCAGAGGCCCAGCTATCAAAGTCAATTGTTTTTCTCACTTGTTCATGGGAAGCTTTTACATTTGTCTTATTTAATGGCAAAAACCAAACTAGCTCTACAAGTGTCTGGTCAATTTCTATCTCTACTCTTGTTATTTCATACCTTAAAAAACAAATACAAAATAAAAATATATTAAAAAATAGCAATTACATTATTCATATTCAGGGTTGGCACAACATAAACAGTGAGAACTCAGTTTCCAGGTGGAAAACAAAATGTGTAGTTTGCCAGGAGTTGGACTTTGATCCTCGTAGGACCCTTCCAACTCAGGATATTCTGTGATTCTATGAAAGTGTCACAAGACATGTAAACTTAAGGGAAGAGGTGATGCATGTTGGGCAGCAAGGACTAAAAATGTACCTAAGTTCAGTTTGAAGTATTGTTTGGGTACATCCTGGAAATTACTTTCATAACTAAGGGACTGAAGGCAGTGCTTTTCTAGTTGCCTGTTCTATAATAAGTTTTAATATAGTTGTTGGACATAGCATTAATTTTCAAGGTGTGAATGAGCTGGATGGGCCAGATCAGGCATGTTTAAAAGGAAGACTTAAGGTTCAAAATGCATAACTTTTTGGCTTATATTGAATGTAAATTCAGCATGAACATACTAGGAAAATGTGAAGAAGTAATGTTGATGGAGGATTTCTCTCCATTGTACTCCGAAATTATTCTGAAGCCTTTTGGAACATTTGAAGTAGATTGTAATTAAAAGCTATTTTAACATATTTTATTTTCCCCATTTTTAAGACTAAAAGAGATAATGGCCAGATGTCAAAATATCTGCTTTCCTTTCCTCAGATTTCTCCATGCATTACCTCCACTATCTTCACAGGAGTCACTCACAAGAGGGCTTCCAGGTTCTCATTTTGAAACTTTTCCTCTCTGTGCAAGCCATTTTCCATAGGCATTTCTGTCATTCTGCCCTTTCCTCTGAGCTTGCAAGAAAAAAAATGTCAGTCATCTTTGTTCTCTCCTGACAGTGTCCAGAGAAAGGCGAAATTCTGGGAGGAAGGACTTGCTTTTATTATTATCCACTAATGATAGTGGATGAAACCCGACCGAAGTCCAGAGAGCAAAATATGTGTTTCTGTTTTGCTTGAGGCTCCTGCTCAATGCCAAAACAGCAACTAAAATGTTAAAAAAACAGCCCAAGAACAAAAACAGAGAAGAACTGAGATGCTATGAGTCACAGACTTATCTGAGGGTTATGTGGGGAAGGTCTTCTTGCCAGCTCTGCTGTTGACCACCACAATTTGTTACGGTGTTCCTGAGGCAATGTAAATGTATATTTATGAAAAGGAATGTTTCTCCGGGCACTCTTCTGTTTTCTTCCTCCTCAGAGCTACCTCCTAAGAGAAAGATGTTGCAGCAAAAGGTCATTGGGATTTCTGCTGTGTTAAAGGTTTCAGAGAGCTCTTTGGAAACTGAGGAGTAAGGTTAGCCATGAGGTGCATTTGCCCTGTACAAGCCTTTGTGCATTAATCAACCATAATATTCTTTCATCATCACAAAAACAGCTTTTTGTTTTTATCTGGCTTTTTCTGTGCAGCTGTATCTGAGCACAAAGCTCCAGGTCAGAATTATATTGAATTTAGTTTATAATTAAGAACCCAGTGGTTCACAAAACTCAGAGCTAGGCTGTCACATTTTGAGTGACAGCCTGTACTTTTCATTTTTTGTAACAAAATTGAATCTCTAAAGTAAAACTGTAATGGGTTCCTAGGCCCAGTACTGCCCAAAGATGTTTAAACTCTGGTGAGCACACTGGAGAGGCACATCCTAAAGAGCTAAACTGGGAATTACTCCTGCTATCTTCTGAGACAATGTCTTGCAGATCTTGGCGAGTCCAGTACCTATGACTTAGATTCCAAAATCTGAGCTGGCACAGGAAAACAGGTGGAGTTTGGTAGCAGATGATGTTTTTCTACAGCTGGAAAGCCACACTGACAGGTTTGCTCTGTGTTATTTATTGCAGCACAGCTGTCTCTCGTGTGATTTCTCTGCCCCATATTTATGGAATGCGAATCAGAGGTGCTGAAGTATTCTGCCGTCTGGACCCACCTCCACCTTATGAAGCTGTGGGCAGCTTTAGAAGCTCTGAGCAGGTATGGGCCACGAGGGTTTAATGTCTGATTTGTTTTTTCCACTCTAAGGGAGAGGTTGCACTCAGGCATGGTAAATGTACGTCAGAAGGATACATTTGATTACAAATGTAAATTTCACCAAAGCTTTTAATTAATTACTTATCTCTAGAACTGAAAAGTTTTCTCCAGTTGGAAAACTGCCCAGGCATGGGAGATGGAACAAAAAGTAATGTGGAGCACACCTGTTACTGCTTATTCTAAAAGACCTCCTTGCTTTACTTCACTTAGGTACCTGCACTCCTCCTGTGAGGGACTAGGTCAAAATTTCATCATCATTGATCATCCCTTTTCACTGGTGTTTTCAAAAGACAGGTGCTTTTTCCCAGAAAATGACTGACCTGGGTGATGAACATGAACACTAGACATTCACTGGCCTTGATTTTGCCATAGAATTAAACTCATACGATACAGTCTCTGTGCACACTTGTTCTTACAAGTGTTCCATTGCTAAGGTGAATGTTGCAGTTCTTAGGAAATGCCAGAGAAAGACAGGGACTTGTGATTTTTCAATTTTTGCATTTTATTCCAGGGAAGTGCACCTCAACTAAATGACATGGAAGATGTTGATTCAGGGGAAGTAAGTGACAGGCAGACCTCTCAAGGTAACAAGTAATTTTAAAGTTTGTTCTAGAATGTTCTTTCCAACACATACAACTTAATGCAGCAGCAGCATTATTGCATTTGAAAGACAGCCACCACACTGCAAACCAGAGATACAGAATCATGATTGTTTTGGCCAGTGGGAACCAGGATTACTATTTAAAATATTTAAAAGCATAACAACATGTTTTCATGCAAGATACAAAAAGAAGGATATGTTTGCTTTTTAGTAACCTAAAAGTTAGTTTTTGACACTATATCCATATGTTGCAAGAAATGATGTCCAGCTCCAGAGCTTCCATTTGCTTAGTGTATGTGATGCTGCCTGTTAACCTTTTGTTGCTTGTAAAAATAGGAAAAGGGTAGAATAACGATGTACTGTGTGGAGCTAAACTGGGAATTATTCCATTTTCCAGCCTGAACTGGAAGACTTACTAAATAGTTTCTGCCTCTTGGTACAGGAGATAGCTAAACCACTCTTAGAGACCACATCAAGCTTTGCTCTGCATTGTTTTAGAAAACCATGCCTTATGGCTCCAAGTTGTTTTTAGCCTAATGTTTGTTGCAATGTATGCTTGTGTCTAAACATTATTGACTTCCAGCTTTTCCAGTACAGCCCATGAAAATGTGTTCCAATTTTCACTTGAACTTGACCATTATGGCAAGATTGTCTTGTCTGCAATATTCATACAAGAGAGTAAAAACTGGGGCAGGGGGGAAGCCCCAAATCTGTTATTTGATTGTATCCTTTCTTCTGCCAATGTACTTATCAAACTATTAAAAAACACTTGGGTTTGACCTTCATCAGTTGAAATTCCTCCTATTATGTGGAGTCAGGGGGGAAAAAAAGAGTTTGTGTAAAATCATACTTCAGCCAAATGTCAGCTCTGTCAAAGTCCCCTTAAGTTCTCACAGTCTGACTGAAACAGCTGAAAATAAGCACTTGGATGATTCTGGTGTCTTGCCAGCTGTGATAAATGAAAACCTTTTGCTATAGCTTCTCTAGATTTCTTCCTCAAAGCTTTCTTACTGGTAAAACTCCTGTTTTGCTTTCTCTGAGCTTCCCGAACTCAAACAAAAAGAGGTTATCAAATACAAGGAGTCATGATGACTTGTTTAAAGTTATGAGGACTGGAAACAGGAAAAAATAGCTTAGACAACGCACCTGCAGTGAAGGTCAGTCAGGAAAGCCTTTGCTTTGTTTTGTTTTGTTGTTTTTAAAAAAGGCTCTGATAAGACACTGTTTGAGGCATTTGTATTTAAAAATTTCCTTTGTAAGAATCAGACCTACCTGAGCACATATGGCAAAGTGGACCCTCTTTTCCATCATCTTAACTGGTTTGTCCAGTATTTTTTTAACATAAAGAGGTCTGTAAAGAGGTGTGAAATTTCCTTCATAGCAGTCTATGGTGCTGGTTTGGATTTGTGATTTGGGGGGAGTGTTCCAGTATTGTCTTTGTTCAGGGACTGGCTGGGCATCAGTCAGCCAGTGGTGAATGACTGCTTTTGTATCACTTGTTTTCCTTTGAGTTTCTTGGCTTTTTTTCTCCCACCTCACTCCTTATCTCAACCCATGAGTTCTGCCACTTTTGTCTTTCAATTCTTCCCTTATCACTGGGGAAGTGTGAGAGCGAGTGTGAGGGACTGAGCTGCCTGCTGGGGTTAAACCACTGCAGGAGGGAAATATAAAATGGGGGCTTATGTTGGAATTGTGGCAGAGGAAGTCTGTGGGCTGTCTCAGCTGGTGCAGGGTAGCAATCTATAAATAAAACTTGAACTTTCAGTTTATGCTGGCAGGCTGTCATGCCAGGGCATTTGTGTATGATGCTGTGATTCCCTTGGCACCATCAGGGCTGATCAACTGAGTATAGCTCCTGATAGAAGTTAAAGCTGTGCACTGCTCTGCCAGCAGAGTAAGGGGAATCCTGATTGCCAGCTGCAGGAGGAGCTCTAAGCATCTCTATGCCAGCTAAAATTGTTTTACTGACTTCATAATCACTTCTGTCACACAGAATGGGACTACAGTCCGCTGACTCTATTAGGCAGACATGCAGCCTTTTGCTGGTGGCAGGAAGTGCTTGGTAGCTTCTCTATATCATCACAAACCAGGTGTATGAATTTCCAGTACACTCCACTGTAAGACAGTTATCTCTTGGAAACATTGTTAAGGATCAAGATCACAAAATCCGCTCATTAATCTGTTCAGAATTAAAAAAAAAATACCAAACAATTTCTCCAAAGTAACAGCACCACTGTACCTCCAGGACTTACTGCTAAAACAGCTCCACTGGTGTTGAAAATTTTATATTGGTGATGGATTCTTTAATCCTGCATGATTTTTGGTCTGCCATATTTTGTTGCTGGGCATTACCTTCTGATTTGCTAGGCTGGCACCTGTTTTATATAGGTTGTCTCACTCTTTCTTCTCTTTAGAGATTCTAAGTTGCATTTGTATAGGTGATAAAGTGCTGTGCTCAACAAGCACATGCCATCCAAACCTAAATTTTCTTGAATGCTTCTGCTACTGGCACATACCTGTTAGATTTTTGCCGTGTTCTGACTAAAAGACTGTTTACATTAATTTGGTTTTGTATTGGGTTTGCCTGGCCAAGTTTTGGTAGTGGTGGCGAAGCTGCTGGAAGGTTTGAAGCTCCCTCTGTGTCTGGCAGAGTTCCAATGATGGACCTGCTGCTGGAGAAGGCTGCACCACTTAGAAATTATGGTAACAACTCTGTGACAACATATTTAAGAAGGAAAAAAAAGTTACTTTGCTGATGTATTGGTGCCCAGAGAAGAGTGAAGTGAGAATATGTGAGAGGAACAGCCCTGCCAACGCCAAGGTCAGTGGAGAAAAAGGGGTAGGAGGTGCTCCAAGTGCTGGAGCCAAGTCCCCTGCGGCCCATGGTGCAGCCCGTGGAGAGGCAGCTGTGCCACTGCAGCCATGGAGGTAACAGGGATACAGAGATCCACCCACAGCCCATGGAAAGCCCCTGCTGGAGCAGGTGGGTGTGTGCAAAAAGGCTGTGACCCCATGGGAAGCCTGTTCTGGAACAGGCTGCTGTCAGGAGCCCATGCTGGAGCAGGTTTCCTGCTAGGACTTGTGACCCTTTGGGGGACCCATGCTGGAACAGGACTGACCCCATGGAAGACTGACCCATACTGCAGCATTTTATGTAGAATTGTTCTCTGTGGAATGGACTCAAGCTGGAGAAATTCCTGGAGAACTGTCTCCTGTGGAAGGGACCCCATATTGCAGCAGAGGAAGGACTCCTCTCCCTGCGCAGCAGCAGAAACATGTCGTGAACTGACCACAACCCATGATCCCTGAGCTGCTGCAGGGCAGAAGATAAAGTCTGGGGGAGGGTTAGGGGGAAGGTGTTTTTTAAGATCTGTTTTACTCCTCATTATCCTGCTAATTTTTGGATAAAGTCAGCTAATATTCCCAAGCTGAATCTGTTTTACCTGTGATAGCAATTGATGAGTGATGTCCCCCTGTCCTTATTTCAAATCATGAGCCTTTCATTATATTTTTTTCTCACCTGTCCAGTTGCAAAGGGGAATGGCTCTGGTTGGGTACCTGGTATCCCACTCCAAGTTTTTTAACTCCTGAATGATCAAGAAAATTGTTTTCTGTGACATACCAGGTGCCACTAGATGGAGGCACAGAACCAAGCTTAGTGAGAAACATACACAGTTTCATCCTGTCCTGTTCATTACATTGCAGCATATAGGTTCACTCTTGGGAAAAGGAGGAGTGGGAAGGATATAGCATATCACAAGAATCCAGAAAAATACTTAAGGAAATATTTTGATTCCTTTTTAGGGAGTAGTGACTGATTACAAGATACCTAATTGCAAAAGCTGACCAACCTCTCTGACCATACGCTGTCATACTCGGTACAACTCATTATAAGCACGAGGATTTGGGGCTGTGTGAGATTTAATTTTTCACCAATAAAGCTGTAGCTTCCTTCTCTCTGATCAGGCAGTTTAAGGTGATTTTTGTACTAGGGTGTACTGGACTGTAGTCTTCTGCTACTCCAGTTGCATAAGGCGGAACAGGCTTTTGCAAACATTTAAACAGGGTTTAGACCAATGTTACTGTTCAGTAAGTGTGGGTCTGTGTCCACATACATGCACCTCTAGACCTCTGTGTCCAGACTTGCAGGTGGGATGGGGAAAAAAATCAGTCTCTAACAGTGGCTTCTACAGATTAGCTTTATTTTGACTACTTCTACTTTTCTGTTTCTAATAATTCAGCTGAAGAAATTCAGGAGCCTTCCAGCAGAGTGAGCCTTTCCCCTTCAAATGCAAGCTGTGTGTCCACAGGAGTGAACAGGAGAGCCTTCAATTCCTTGTGGAAATACTCTAAAAGTGACCCTGTGCTCCACTGCCAGCTGCCTCAAGGTGACTCGAGTTTCTCTGTCAGTGATTGTGTAATTGTGTTTTCTTTAAAAGAAAACTTTTCAAGAGTTTTGTACATTGAAGCTAGTACCTGCAGAAATCAGCTACTGTTTCCCAACAGAGCACATACGTAACAGTGGTTTGCCAAACCTTCTCCACCTAACTCCTTAGTTTTGCAGCTCTTTAGGTTTTCATATCCAGGAACAGGGTCCGTAGCAATGTATGTATGAAGGAGGGGTCGTGGAAAATAAGGAGGGAGAGCACACAGGATTCCTCAGTGCACTGACACCTAAAATCTTACAAGTGCAGTTGTCAGTGTGAGCAATTTATAGCAAAATTGGCTTGGGGATTTGGTATTAGCCTATAAGTTGGCTCCCCTTTTCTCAATCCTCACGTCATAAAAAAACAAAAACAAAACAAAACCCCAAAAAAGCCTCAACACAACTCATGGTGGAGAGTTGTTGAAACTGCTTTGGTGTCAGTGATACAATTCTGTTGCTGTGGGAAAACTGCTAATGTGACTACACAGTCCATCATACTGCTGCCAATCTTGAAAAATGCACCAGTCAGGGGTCTTGCAGTTTTTACTATAAGATATTGGAATCCCCACAGTAGCTGCTGACACATACCAGCACTCAAAATGTAAGTGCCAATGGGCATGTTAGTAACAGCCATTTATTCTGGATATTGGGAGCATGCCTATCTGGATTACACTTGCTGTTTTTGTGGAATGTTTTCACGGCCCTGCTGTATCATGTGCTTTGTCCTCCTAACAAGTTCCACCAGAGCAGCCCAGAGAATCTGCTGCTGAAGTAATAGTTACATGACACACAGCCTATTCATATATTCATAGCTGTGAAAGCAGAGTGTTTCTGATGTACAGAGACCCCATGTCAGAAGCATTTGGAAGCTTTAGGCTCAGTGTTACTGAGGTCAGGTCAGTTCAGCAGTTAGGTCTGAGTTAATCATGAGTGCTATAGAAAAAGAACTCACTGCAGCAATGGAATTTACTTCAAGTTAGTGCTCTTCTTTCTGGGAAGTTTTGGATCTCTTCCTGAAGTTTTTTGGTCTGAAGCCAAAAAGTACTTCTTGAAACAAGTGCTTCTTAACTTCTTAAAGTACTTCTTGAACAAACTGTAGGTGTGGTTTGGGATTTTTTTTTGTTTTTTCCTTCCTTTTAATGGGGTCAAAATTTGATAACCTGTGTACACCAAAGGCAGTGTATTTTTATTTTGACAAAAGGCAGTGAAATTGATTCTGTATTGCCCTTTGTTTAGTCCTCAAAAGGTAATTTTGAGTGTTTTGGTGTGGGTTTGGTTTGTTTTTGGGTTTTTTTTCCATTGAATTTCTACCTTGTAGTATTACTAGATTACAGCTTGACAGGTATTTTCAGTCCTCTTGACTCTTGTCCTCTTGACTGCTAATAACTAAAAGTTATCAAGAGTTTAGAAGAGGTCATAAAAGCCTTCTACCTTTTTGTTTACATTGGCATTCAACATGCATTTCAGATCTCTTCAGATCAGAAAAAAGAAAAAGGAACCAATGTACAGAAAATGACAGAGCTTTCTGAAGGGGAAGAGTCCCTCCAGAGCCTTTGACATGTAATATGCACTGAATCATAGTTATGTATGCCTATTTTACAGGCATTTTGTGTAAATCCAATAGAGTGAGCCTTCCATACCAGCCTGACCGTGCCAGACTGTTAGGTTTTACAAGGTTAAACAATGCACTGCATCCTCTTTGAATCAGGAGGGGAATCTCTAGGAATGCCATGAACTATGTGGATTGTTTGCTTTGTGTCATCTTTGTCTTCAGGGACAGTTCTCAACTGTGAAACTGCAGCACTCAATGATGTAAATCCACTTAACGCTGTCACCTTGCAGAAGAGTTCAAGAGCAAGAGCTTTGAGGGGAAGACCCCAATCTCTGATAGACTATAAATCTTTTATGGAGACTAAACAACGTGTGGCAAGGATCCTTGAGCAGTCCTCCAGCAGCATGAGCCCAGACGTACATGACATGGTGGAAAATATCAAATCTGTTTTAAAATCAGATGAGAAACATATGGCAGAAGCTGTCACCAGTGCCACTTTCCTTGAGCAGGTAGTTTTATTACTTGTATTTATCACATGATGTGGAAAACCACTGCCCCTGGTTTGGAAGTATAGGTTTACATCTGCCAGTCTGTGTGTCAGTTTTTGAACCAAACTGGCTTCCTTCAGGACTTTACTTTCATGTAGGTAATGTGTGAGAGGCTGTGACATTTATTGCTCTGTCAGCCACAAGCCAGATTATGTGTGTATTTAAAAACTGAGTCAGTCTTCTGCTGAGGAGTCATGAAATGTAAATAACATGACAGCATTTTACACTGAGTGTGGCAGGGGAGAGGGAGAAGATGTTATAAATAACCATTTGCTATTGCAAACCAGAAGGAATGGAGGCTGACAAGGAAATTTTTATGTAAACCCATTAGAAGCAAGTTTTTTGTGATTGGCTCCCAGGATAAAAATAAGACCTAGTACTAAGGAAATTAAAAGCAGAAAATAGAAAATACAATGGAATGACTAGCCAGAAGTTTCAGACACTGCAGGCTTCATCAAATAAATGTTTTGGTAACTTACAGACCTTTTGGGTAGATTAATTGATTCATGCATGGCACAAGTGATTTGCTATGACAACTGGTTTTGGTTTGGGTTCTCATGCAAAATGCATCAGTGTCATTTAGGTTCTACAAATAAAGTGGGATTTCCCACTGCAGCCTTCAGGCAACAAAAGCCTTGACAATTTTGACAGAAACAGGAAGGAAAAAGGCTCCTTATAATAATTTAATTTATCACATAAGCTTGAAGGTTATTACAGTTCAGTGGCCTCTGCAAGGAAGCAACATTTAGGTTCTTTGTAAACAATAGCAGACATGCCATAGGTTGGAGTGAAAAAGTTCCTGTGCACCTTTGAGGGGGAAACCAAACCAACCTAACAAAAACTCAACAAACAATAAAATAAAAAATTAACCCACTCCTTTCCCAACTAGGACTGCTTTTCACATGCCTCCTTGGCAAAGGCTAGGGGTTTTAGAGCTTTTTTAATTATTCTTTAAATATAACAAACAACACTACAATTAGCTTCTTCCTAGTTGGGTAAAAAACTATTTTAATGTGACAAGAGCCTGAAAACAAAACTGATTAAAACTTCTATTTTCTTTATAAAGGTGATGACACATGCTCAGCAAGCCACACCATTGCGAGTCAGTGCGTTACCTCTCAGATTACATCCTGGATTGCTGTACCTGGAGAGCTGTGGTGACCTGAGTACTTTCACCACAGAGGGAGAACACCCAGCAGAGAGGAGAATCAAAAGAGCAGAACATGAACGGCCCCATAGTCTTATTGGTGTTGTCAGGGAAACTGTACTTTGAGCTGGGTTTTTGGTTATTCCTCAGCAGAAGTCCTTCTGGCAGACATACACATACTGCAGAGGAAAATATCTCTGTCAAGTGGGTGAATGGGTTTGTCAATAATTTTCTTCTTTTTTAATATTCTTATGCTCAGACTACAAAGAGGAAGATCATTCTACAAAGAGCATTAAGCAGATTGAAAACTGACCTTTATTGGGCCCTCAGCTACAGCTCATCTGTTTGTGATACATTAGTGCTGTGCATCTCTGTGAAGTTTGGTAACGTGTAGTTGTGCGGTATGATGATACATTATCCTTGTGGAAGGAGCTGTCAAAAGCAGTATTGAAGAAATTAGCAAATTTTTGGTACTTTGGTTTAAATTAAAATCTCCAGTCATCAAATGGAGCCCTTCAGATACAAACTATGTTAGTAAAAAAGATGGTGTACAGAATTCTGAAGTTATTCTTTACAAAAGAAAGTTGTTGAAGTGCAAACTTTACTAAAAATAAAAAATGTCCTGAAGAAGTTTTTTGGCTCAGTGAACTTCTCAGTTAATGTTGGAACAACACCCAAAAGCACAGCTGTTCTGCAGTAAGTGGTACTGGCTTGTTACTGTCCCGGGAAGAAAGGCACTCTCTGTATAGTCTCATTTGAAATGCTGTTTATTACAGTGGGTACTACGAATGAAGAATCTACTATAGCTAATTTTATATTCTTCCAGGTGCTGGGAAGCCCAGACTGTGCAGGATCAAACAGGGCACAAGTTATGCAGATCCCATCCATTTTACCCCATTTAGGTCATTTGAAGTAATTAAAAATTTTCATAGGGAACAACTCTATTCATCACTCCTACTGTCAAACAAAAGGGCTGTTCACGTGGGACCTTACTGCTGCACTTCTAGACAAAGGCAGGGACACACATGTACTGCTGGGGCTTTTGAGTACCACTGGGACTGCCTGCAGGCTCCCTTCTTAAAATCAACCATCTAAATTTATTCTGTGGCCAAGGGACATCCCTGGAGGTCCATCTGTAAGAGCAGCACAGAGCACAGCACAGGCCTGGCCCTACTAGGGTAAGAAGCACATGGATCACAAACTCTTCATGTACCATGATTTTAGGTCAGGATTTCTCCATATGCTTCAGCACAGAACATTTATTTAAATTACAGTCCCAGCCCTGACACTGACAGTTCACACAGGTCACCAGCATCACCTCTTCAGCCGGCAAGGCACTACAGGGTACTGGAACTGGGGTGGGGTCTGCTTGTCTTCTGTGTGGATCCAAACCATTAAAACACTAAAGGAGAGGGCAAGAAACAAGTCTCCTGTCAATATAGCAAATCTGCAAAATTTTTGTCTGTACTGCTGAAGTAAGAGCTTATGTTTATCCACTGAAATGCAGAAAAGTTTGTAAAACAGAAATTAGTATACACAGCTAATGATAAGAATAAATGAAGGATGGAGGGTAGTACACAGGGAAATGGAGAAAGCAAGCTCAGCATGCCTCCTGCACCCTTTGCCAGGGACTTCACAATTTCTTCTGTCCGTCATTTATGAAAATAAGGTGAAATACTTCATTTCTGTCATGTTGATGGTATTTATATTTCATGTTATGAACAGCCACTAAATGGCTGAATGCCCATGTTTAAGTTTCTTCTGAATATGCTGTGGCATATATTTAATTTCTGTGGTTTCAAAGTACTTGTGACAACCTATGAGGCAGAGAAAATCCTATGAAGCCTCACCAGAAGAAACACTCCTTTTTTCATTGGTTGACTTTCAAATATACTTGTATTTTTTCATGATCTCTCATTATACAAGTATTTTTAAGTTTAGCACAGGCAGTTCCAGGATGAATTCTAAGGACAGACATATTACAATTCTACTTTATTCAAGTGGTGTTAGGTCTTTAAAAATAAACCATGCTGATGACATTTGAAGGAAAACAGTGACTTCAGAAATTAAGCGTGAAGAATTTTTATCAAAGCCCCATTTATGAAAAATTCCTATTTAAAGTTACTCAGTCAATGAAATAGTATTTCTGTCACAATCACAGTGGCATTTCACACAGTAAAAACTGGGATGCCACCTTAAATTAGGAATCAGCTTTGTTTAGGAGCACTTGTGTCATATTGCCTGAAAAGAATGCTGTTTTAAAAATAAAGGTAACACCATTGCTTCACGCCTGCAGAACCACAGACAGAACCACTCCAGACTAAGTGGCATAAAAGTTCAGACACCTTCCAATTATGTATGCATTCAGTATTGGCAAGTCAGCCTCTAGGTCAGTATGAGCAAATTCTCAGCCTTGTCTGAGGTATTTTTGTTTTGTAGTTTATTGTTGCAAATCTTACAGACATTAGCGCTCTGTTAAATAAAGGAATGTAGCACAGTAAATACATCACAACAAAGTAACTGGCCAGAAACCCCCTACCCTGTTCCATCCAAAGCAAAAAGCCCACTCTTCTCCCCTCTGTCTCTCCCCAAATCAAATCAGCACAGCTTCATTAGAGAGGTCAGAGACCTGTGGCAGAACACATCAGAGTAATTACATTCAGTAGATGTGCAATATCAACATTCCAGTCTCACATATATTTATATATATATTTATATTTATATATAGAGATCATTAAATGTTTACAAAGAACAATATTGTTACAAATACATTACTATGCTTTTCCCAACGCTTTATAATAATTTCTATTCATCCTCTTTACAGAACAATAGTACATAGTCTAGATACTGCACTAAATATATACAAGAGATCTCAACCATGTTACTGTCTTGAGAAATACATTTCTTTTAGAAAAGAAGGAAAGCTAGCAAACTTGGAAATCCAAACTGAGACAAACAAGATTCAAAACAAACATGAAACTTCTCAAAAATAAAAAATACAAGGGATGTTTCATCCTTAATGTAAACACTGAAGAGTTAATTAGACTGTATGAAGCAGCAAGGATGAAAGAAAAAGAATTCAGGTCTGTCACTGAAGAAGGAATGTAAACCTTTGAAGGAATGTTCCTTTGCATCTGTTAAAAATCCCCATATCTGATCTATCAAACTGCTGCAACAGTCTAGAGAACAGCCAGCTTTCCCTTTAGAGTTCCATTTTCTTGAAACTCTGTTTACAGAGTAAAATGGGATTGTTTACAAGACTGTTCTCAGAAGTGTGCACACACTATGGACCTCTCAGTTTAGAAATCTTATGCACATGCTGTAATTGAAAAAAATGAGATTTTTTTTGCTAGGTTCTGGTCCTGCAAGCATTCATTTGCTTAATGTTAAGCACCTATTTAGGATGAACGGTAACTTCACAAACTCTGGGCTGCAAGATTTCCGAAGAAACAGTTGTTTCTTCTCTAAATACATTTGCTTGTTCAGATCTTCACCATTTCCCAGTGAAGTGACCTCCACCACATGGGCTAGACAGAACCACAGAAACAAACGAAGTGGAGGGCATACACATAGCAGGAACCAGAAGCATGATAACTGTGTCTTCAGGAGTTCAGTAAGTTTTCTTAGGCAATGTATGGAAAGGCTGCACTGTATATAATCTTCTAAATTGTACATGGTTATATACCGTATTTACATTTATTACTATATATATGGAAAGTTCTAGAAAAAAGGTTCAAATTACCATAAACCAGATGTCTACAGTTAAACAATATACTCACAAGCTATTAATTATCGTGTTGCATCAGTGAGGCAGCAGAGTTAAGTACTAACCTGGAATACTAATACCATTCTCTTGTGCAATCTGCTATTCTGAAGCCTTGGATTAAATTATATAACAACAAGAAATGCAGTAAAATCAAGTCATCGTACATTTATCTCAACACTAAAACGTATCCCCTTACTACAACAGTTTATGCACCACTTCATTATGTCTCTTAAATATCTGCTTCCCACAGAAATACAGTTTATCCTCTAACTCTGATCAGGCCATGATTATCCATGATTTTAGAAAGCCAAAAAATGGACTCCTGACAAGAGTGCTCAGTGGTTCTCAGCAGTGTTTGCAACAAGTGCACATGCACACACCCACTTCTATGAATCCCCATAGCAATGTCTAGGATCATCACTGGACTGCAAGCAACGCTTACATTGCACAGCTCACGTCACAACAAGTGAGAAACAAGTGACTATGAACAACACCGCATTTGCAAAGCAGAAGTGGCGTGTGGCTTGTCTGCTCTTGTTTTCATCTCACTGCACCTTTCCATCACAGCAAAACACAGCACAAACTGTTTCTTTAAAAGAAATCAACATACTAGCCTGGACTAAACGCATGGTTCAACTTCAGTATAAACACCAGTATACAGTCCTGAAAAAAAGTAACTACAGAGAATGTAGAATTCTCTCACTAGGAAGAAAAGACACTGCTTCTTTTTTATTTTGAACCCTCTTAAAAAACCCAGATAACCCAACCCAGCCCCCTCCTCCCCTTTTGTCTCTAGCATGCAACTTAGAGGCTAATCAAATACAAGATTTCATACATCTCTACAGTTAATCATCTCCATACAAGTGCATATAGTACACACATATCTCTTTTAAGTGCCATACATATGGGAAAAAAATCACAAGCTAAATTATATAACAAAATAAATAAGTTTATTCCTGCCTCATCCTTTCCACTGTTACCTATATCATGAACTAAACAGGAAGTCAATAAAATTAGACAGGTCTTTGGACAAAAATATATGTTAAAACTGGCTCAGAGAACAAAATTACTTAGAATAGTCTGCAGATCTCTTATATTCAAACTTCATAAATAGGAAGCACAATTTTAAAAATGTCTATATACACTGGCACACATGGCTATGTGCACCAAAATTGGAATTAAGAGCCTAGAAAAAGTGTAGCTATTCAGCAGATCCCCTCACTATTTTTCTTGTGGATATTTAAAGATCCTCCCCCCCCACTTCTTTAAACTCTAAAATCAGGAAGGGACTATAAAAGACAAAGCAGAAGAAAACTAGGAGATAGAAACCTGGGGGCAGAGAGGGGGAGGCAGCTGTAAAAAATGCCTCCCAAATTTCTTAGTGTAAGTAATGCAAGAATAAAATGTTTCAGGAACTTATGGAGTATCTTTTGGAGTCCTACTATCATGAAGAAGTGATGACAGGGGGAATTAAAAGGTATGTATTTGGACAATTCATTTTACAACAGCAGCATTTACTGAGTGTTCATAAGCAGGCAATTTTTCCTGAGGGCAAAACAATCCTTTTGGTATTCTACTTTCCCCACAGACACAAACCTTCATTACTGAGCTTGGTGCCTGTGGGAAAATGGGGAAAAAAAAGCAAAGTCACAGGCAGGATATCCAAGAGAACACTTTGTACGCTATACTTCTATCTGTTTGGTAAAGTCATCTTTCATTCAGCAACATTTAATTTACTTGGTTTGTAAAATTATAGCCACAGAAATAAAACTGATTATGTAGCATGAAATACAGCCATCTGTGAATACTGCTGTAAATTATGCTGCTATTTTCCTGTTTTTTATGTGGAGCTGTATGAAGTTTCACTTGTAAAAATACGCAACCAAAATAGCTCCATAGATACATTTTGGCCCTCACCAAAATGCAGGAAAATGGTAGGAAGAAGAGGAAAGAGGGATGGAGAGAGCAACAGTGTATTTGTGTCTGTGAAGTGGGGAGAGAGGAAGAAATGTCTTTGCAGACACAGAAATGCAGCACTAGAGAGACAAGCACTAACAAGGAAAAACATCTTCCATGCACACTGTGGTGGTGAGGTGTCAGCTTCAGATGTAAACTGGTTGCTCTTGTGCAGTCAACAGTCTGTACATGGCAGCTGGCATAGTCTTCATATGGATCTAGAGGAAATAAGCCAAGTTAATCAATGCTCCTAAACATGCACACCTCACATGAAGGACCCAGATAAAGTCATACAAGGCAGAAAAAAAGGTAACATTTGAGAGTTTTCATAACCTTATTAAAGTATTGCAGGTGATGATTTTATGAAACAATATGTTTTGATGAACCATCTAAAATTGTGGACACTTCATATTTTGAAGGTACGGTTCTTCTAAAGCATAGAACTACGGGGCAAATAATGAAAGAAATGGTGCGCAGTCCTGCTCTCACTTCAGCTTTTTGGATTTGATTAGCAACAGGCCAACACAGGTAGAACCACAGAATTATGGAACAGTCTGAATTTGAAGGGACCTTTCAAGATCATCTAATCCAAACTGCTGGTATCAACGTTTTTCACTGGAACAGATTGCTTAGAGCCCCATCCATCTTGGCCTTGAACACTTCCAGGGATGAGGAATCCACAGCTTCTCTGGGCAACCTGTTCCAGTGGCTCATCAACCTTACAGTGAAGGATTTCTTCCTATGCCAAATCTAAATCTACCCTCTTTCAGTTTAAAACCACTGCCTGGCACTGGAGACGCTGGTAAAACTCTCTCTCCGTTTTTCTTAGAAAGCCCCTTTATACATAGAAAAGCTGCAGTCAGGTCTCCCTGGGGCCTTCTCTTCTTCAGGCTAAACAACCGAACTTCTCTCAGCCTCTTCTCACAGAAGAGGTGCTCTAGCCTTCTGACTCTTTTCGTGGCCTTCATCTTTATCTGCTCAAACAGGTACATGCCTTGTTTATGCTGAGGGCCCCAGAATTGCGCACAGTACTCCAGACAGGGTCTCACAAGTGCAGAATACAGAGGGAAAATCACCTCCCTGCTGGCCTCACTGTTTTTGATGCAGCCCAGGATACAGATGGCTTTTTGGGCTGCAAATGCCCATTCCTGGCCCCTGTTCAACTTTCCTTCTACCAAGTTCCTCTCTTCAGGGCTGTTCTCAGTTTTTTCAGCCTCAGTCTCTATTGATGTTGGAGATTGGCCAGACCCAGATGCAGGACCTTGCACTTGGCCTTGTTGAACTTCACAAGGGTTACACTGGCCACATCTCTAGCCTAGTTCAGGTCCCTCTAATGGCATCCCATTCCTTAAGTACCACTGATCTTGATGTGACCCTCAAACTTGCTGAGACCACAGCCCAATTCCACTATGTCACTGATGAAGACATGACAAACAGAGTGCTGATCCCCTTGAAGGACACTGCTTGTCACTGGTTTCCAGTGGTTGTTACTGGTAACAGCAAGGACCTGTGCTATACTGCCTAGACACAGTGCTGGCTCTTACCTCACCAACAGCATTTGAGAGGATGTGAACAATTTTCTCATGGGGTGTTGCTACAACGCTCTGCCCATTGATCTCAATGATCCGATGGCCAACACGCACACCTCCTCGCTCTGCTATCCCTCCTCTCATAAGGCTACAGATCTGGAAGGAAGAGAACAAATTTATCATGGGCTGGATAAGGAAGAGAGACTTGATTATCTATTTTTTGCCTGCAAGCTATGAATCAACATTTAAACATAGACTTGCAACAACAAATTCTAAGATGCAATCATTGCTGACTCAAAAGCAAAATTTGTTCGTGACAAGTAGTTAAGAGCAGAAAAAACTGTCAAAAAAGGCTGTTTGTGTTGTACATTACATGTCTTTGGACATGTGGTTTGGAAATTTATGAGTGTATGAAGGACCTCAATTTAATGATGTTCATTAGACAGATGCCTTGCAACAAAAAGGATCAACAACAGGCTTTTTCTTTCATGCTATCATTGCATTACGCAATGGCTTAGTTAAAGACATGTATGATGCATGCTGAAAGCAGACTCTTCCACACAGTTGTTTTTTTTTTTAAGCTGAAACAACTATTTTATTCCTCTGGCTGACTGTAAAGTTGTGAATTAAGTAGAGTCACAGACAAAAAATAACTCCTATTAACACAACTTTTATATCTCAGACTTCACAAGTGCAAAATCCTGCTTGCTGAAAAGGAGAAAATAGAGGCTTCCCTCTTCTCAGACTGAAACTTACCCACAAATGGAGAGGAAGTTTCATGTTAAAGCTTGATCAGAAATGGTGGAAGCTACTTACAATCCCATTCTGCACACTGAAGCCCAGCTGATATCTGAGGTCTGGTCTTCTGATCAAGACTGTGGTTACTGGAGGACATCTAACTATGTTCAGTTTAACCCGGGCCTGGTTTTTCAAACCCTGAAAAAAAATACCAGATTGAGAGTTAAACATGTATCATGACCAGAAATAAAAAAGGTGTTCAAATGCTGACATGGGAACAGCCTTGAATAAATAGATCTTTGTATGCATTGTACCAGAACATGATCAATGAATGCCAGACACAAGCATCAGAATATTCTGTGGGATGAGTGATAAAACATCAAATTTTTCTTGCCAAAAATCTGGCACAGCTGTTTTAGATTCCTGTTGGCAATTTCTTCATTTGATAATATAAATTATACATAAAAGGAATATTAAACAGGTCTATGCATCTCACCAGAAAGGTCAATGACTTTTAAATAAGTAACTGAGTTAGTTGCAAAACAGTTGCTTCCCTAATGAAAAAGAATAAATTCTGTCAAGCAAACAGCTGGTCCTCCTTGTATCATCTTTGTATAAGCAGCACCCGTAATTTCCATTATTCACAGAATCACAAGATGGGTAAAGTTGGAAGGGACCACTGTGGATCATCTGGTCCAACCTCCCTGCTCAGGCTGGGTCATCCCAGAGCACACGGCACTGGACTGTGTCCAGATGGCTCCTGAATATCTCCAGTGAGGGAGACTCCACAGCCTCCTGGGAAATCTGTTCCATTGGATGGTCACCTACACAAGCTATTCCTTTATGTTCCAATGGAACTTCCTGTGCATCAGTTTCTGCCCGTTACCCCTTGTCCTATTGCTCAGCACCCCCGGCAAGAGCCTGGCTCCATCCTCTTGGCACCCTCCCTTCAGCTACTTACAGACATTGATAAGGCCCCTCTCAGTGCCTCTTCTGGAGGCTGAGCAGCCCCATCTCCCTCAGCTTTTCCTCATAAGAGAGATGCTCCGATCCCTTCATCCTCTTTGTACAGCTCCCCTGGACCCATTCCAGGAGCTCCATGCCCCTGTTGTGCTGAGGAGCCCAGAGCTGGACACAGCACTGCAGATGAGCCTCACCAGGGCTGAAGAGAGGGGCAGGATCACCTCCCTCAGGCTGCTGGCAGTGCTCTTCCTGATGCATCCCAGGACACCACTGTCCCTCTTGGCCACAAGGGCACACTGCTGGCTCATGGACAGCTCGTTGTCCACCAGGATCCCCAGGTCCTTCTGCACAGAGCTGCTCTCCAGCAGGTCACTCCAGCCTGTGCTGGTGCACGAAGCAGTTCCCCCCCAGATGCAGGATCCTGCATTTGCCCTCACTGAATATGAGAAGGTTCCTCTCTGCCCATCTCTCCTGCCTGTTGAGGATCCTCTGAAGCACTTGGGTGTCAGCCACTTCTCCCAGCTTGGTGTCATCAGTGGACTTGCTGGGGAGGCATCTGCCCCTTCATCGAAGACATTTATGAAAACCTTAAAAAATACTGCAGGAGTATTGAATCCTGAGGGACACTGCTACCTAGAGGCCTCCAACCTGACTCTGTGCCACTGGTGATGACCCTCTGGGATCTGCCATTCAGCCAACTCTCTATCCATCTCACTGCTCACTAACTGGTCCATACTCCCTGAGTTTGCCTATGAGGATGTTGTGAGAGATGGTGTGGAAAACCTTGCAGAAGTAAAACATACACTGCTCTCCCTTCATCCATCCAGGTAGCTGTTCTTCCACAGAAGGCAATCAGTTTAATCAGACATGATTTACCTTCAGTGAATCCATGCTGACTACTGCTGATCACCTCATTGTCATCCGTGTGGATAGAGATGGCCTCCAGAATGAGGAGTCCCAGGGATTAAGGTGAGGCTTACTGGACAGTAGTTCTCTGGCTCTCTTTCTTGCCCTTTTTGAAGACCAGGGTGACATTTGCTTTTCTCAGTCCTCTAGCATGAACTTT